AAACTCTCTTTCACCCCATCCCCGCTGCACGTTCATGCCGACACAAGACAAGTCGAACTGGGGTGGGATCCTCAAATGCAAGTAATGCTGATCAAGTCGATATATTGCAAACAGCAGGATCGAACTTGCACTCCCCAATCAAGAAAATGTGTTGGGATTCGCCTCAGTAAATAAACCGGTCAGCTCTTTGAATCCCGACACATCATTAGAAACATGAACTGTCTTGCTTCTGAATCTGATTATATATCTATTACTGCAAATTTATGCCCACTTAATATATACTAATTCCACTAAACTTAATGAGATACCAGAATGGACATATCTTGCATATATGCAAAGAAAAGAAGACAAAAGCAGTAGCTTACTACCAAGGTATTTCAACAAAACCAATAATTTTCTATAAGCTCAGTCTGAAATGTTGCAGCCTATTTCTTATTCTCACACACAGATTCTCTGCCTATTGTAAAGGGCGTCTCTGATAGTTTTATAAATATGAGCTTGAGATCAGTTCACGGTGACCACATGGATACAACCATAGAGTGGTACAGTGGGGACCACTGCTTTCTTCAGCTTGTTTCAACTACCCAATAATTCTAGGATTTCCTAATTGTCTCCCATCCAAATATATTTGGACCCTAAAATATATTAATTGGGTTTAATGCGGGTTTTTTTCCCCAGTTAGCTAGGTATTACTAGCTGTGACAACAATCTAAATAAAAACTTCTCTTTCACACAATACTACAGAAGGATGTTGGCTGAAAGTCTCATTTAGCATTCCTTGCTGATAGAAAAGAACGTATCAGTCAGTCAAGGGTGCCTCATTTAAACCTATGTAGCAGAAAACTTAGTTTTATCTAAAACAAGTTTACACTGTTCTAATCAACACTTTGTTACCTGCAATAGCCATCTGAAAGTAAAGTATGTTTGTTTCTGATGCCTTCAAGTCTGTGATGTCTCCTGGCAATTGCCTGGATAAGTCTCTGCAGTTTCCTTGGCAATATTTTGAAAGTGGTTTGCCCTTGCCTGCTTTCTGGGGCTGAGAGAAAGTGACTGGCCCACAGTCACCCCTCTTGTTTTGTGACTAAGGTGGGATTAGAATTTACAGTCTCCCATTGATCTAGAAACTGTAGAGCTGTATAACATTTCAAACGATGTTATATTAAGGTAATTATCTTTCTATAGTACCTGGTAGGTTTACAGTGCTTTAGAAATCAGTTAGGAAAAAATTAATACTTTAATAATGCATTCAAAACAGCATTTTGCATCCAAATTAGTGTTATAGGGAGGGAGGGAATCACACACACACATACACATAGTTGAAAACTATGGAAACTCTCAATTACTAAGATAATGCTTATCCACACTAATACATAATCTAACTTTATCTAAAAATATTGTTTACTACTTTGTGAGCTCCTCACATTTACATGTCACGTTATGCACAAAGAAAAACATTTTCAGCATATGTCTAGGAATGGGAGAAGTTACAGCCAACTTGCAAAATGGCAAATCAGACCACACTAGCTACTGTGATGACAAAGATATAAGTGGGCGTCTTAGGCAAATTATTTTAATGTACCTATTTTTTAAAAAAAATGATAGCAAATTGTTATATCTTCATTATTATCACCACATTTTACTGCCATGTAGTGGGGAGTTTTTATATACTGACTCTGCAATCTGCTAGAGAACGAAGAAAATTTGCTGTTTTGCTTCAGACAATAAAATTCTTAAACTTAACATTTATATTATAGTCAAGTGTGCTTTACATATGCTGCCTCCTCAGTATTAATCTTATACAAGCACCTCTTTATTGTTTCTATTTATAGGAAGCTACTATTTCTATACTTTTCCTATGTGCATATTTATCACAGACACATCCACTATTCACTTATTAGTATCTTGCTTCTGATTAGGAGTATTCTAAACAGAGGCCTTAGATGGGACTAGCTTGATCGGATACCTTCAGGTGAAATCATGGGCAATAAATGTGATTTACACCAGAGGTTTAATTATTGGACTATATAGAATGCATATATTTTGGAAGGCATTACCAGATTTTCTCCTCCTGCTGATTTGTCAGATCCATGTGATATTTATTTTATTTTATTTATCATATTTAGATACTGCCTATCTCACTCTCAGAGTGACATTGGGTGGTGTACAATGAAAAGGTATACCCATAAGATGTTTCAATGATCTACACCTCAAAAACTGATGCATAGTTGCAGGTTTTAGTGTTTGGATCACGAACCAGGCATAGGTGGCATCCAAAACATGTACAGTTAACAAAATGAGAAAATAATATTCTTGTAGATTGAGATGGGAGAGCAAGTTTGGTGTCACCATTAAAGACTAGAAACCAGGAGATCGTGAGTTCTAGTCTTTCCTTAGGCTGGGTGACCTTGTGCCAGTTCCTCTCTGAGCCCTAGGAAAATACAAGGAGCAAATCTTTGCCAAGAAAATTACTGGCACTAATCCAGGCAGTTCCCAGGAGCTGACTGGAAGGCCCCCAGTCACTGAGGTGGAGGGAAGGCAAAGACCTGACAAATGGGAACCCTGCATTTCTTTCTGGCCCTTTCAAACTATCCATCCAGATAGCTCGACTGGCTTCCCGTCCATCCAGGGACAGAAGCGGCTCGTGCCCCATCACTGCCACTTAATTGACTTTTTGAGCAGCCCCCTTGCTTCCCGAAGGCAATATCATACATAGGCCCTATGCATTATTCTCGAATCTTCTGTGCCCTGTCGGGGCTCCATTGTGGTGTGTGTGTGGTCCGCTAACGAAGCGGAGACCCCCAAAACACGAAATGCTCCTGATTAATAGAGCAGAAGATGCAGAGGGAGGGCAGCGCTCTTCCTGGGCTTAGAGAGGGCCAGGTTCCCAAAGCTTCGCGTCACAGCCCTTCTCCTTCCCGCCGCCTCGGGGCCGCCTCTCGCGCGCCTCCTTCCGTGGACTCTCGGTGCCCAGCGGGCGTTTTCCGTGCCTCCCCGCGGCTGCCATACCCGGCAGGCAGGGCTCCATTTTTCTGCCTCCCCAAGCCTCCCGCCACCCCGGCGGCGGCGGCGGCGGTGGCAGCCCCATCCTCCTCAGCCTTGGCAGGGTTCCCTTTTCCCAGCCCGGCACCGGCGGCTGTTGGCTTCCCGCACGTATCCCCTGAAGCCGGGGCTGCTGCAGTGCCCCCTCCGGGGCTGGGGGCGGCGCTGGGCCCGGCCGTCTCGGGGCCGGATGGAGCCTCTTGGCCGGGGCCGGAGCAGCACCTCCTCGGCGAGGCCGGGCTGGAGGGTAGGGGAGGCCGGAGCCCTTTGTGTATGCGAAAGCGGGGATGCTGCCCACCGCCTCCCGGGTAAGGGGCCACCTTCACTCCCCTTCCCTTCGGGGGAAACAGCTCCTTTCTGCCGCCTACAAGGGTGTGAGACTCTCCCTTCAGCATCAGGGATTCCCGGTCGGAGTCGCCTTTCCCCCCCGTGCCTTGCAGCCAGCCCCCTTGCCTTCACCCCGCTCCCTGCGCTCTCTACCCTTCTTGCCTCGGGAAGCCCTTCTTCCTCTCCAGGGCTCCCCGAAAGATTTCCCGGCCCTTTGTTTCCCATTTACGGGTCGACCCAGAGAAGCCCCATCCCGACGACCCACTTTTCTCTTCCAATCCCGCACCCCCTCGCCTGACATCCCCTCTGCCCCACACATGCGTGCGTTTGTAGACTCCCCTCCATCTACTCCAAATCAGAACTGCCCCTCTGCCTCTTTTCTTTTGCTCTTTTCCCTCGTTATCCCAGCATTCAATGTGGGTACCCCGTCTCACCTCATATTCCAGATAAGGAACAACTTTTAAGGGTCACCGTTCCCTCCCTCCCTCCCATCCCACTCTTGACTTATTGGCACTCAGTTTTAACACTGCCTCCACTTCTGTTTTCTTTAAGCAATTAAAAAAACCCATTAATAAATAACTTGCTTTTTTTAAACTATCTGCCACCCAGTTTCTAAAATAATGCATTTGTTTTGGAAAAGAAAGGGGAGGGGAATAGTTTTTCTTAAGGTATCAGAAATTATGACATGTTCTTCATTGTAGGATTTTTGCATAGAGAGCTTACTTTATTAATATAGATCTTTCAAATCTTTTTTGATAGCAGGCATGGTCCCTGATGAAGGTTAGAGTGGGATATGTGGGTTAAGATGATATCTTTGACTATTGCTTAAAGTTTATAAGAAATCACAAACTTGAGCACTCTGCTGTGCATATTTTATTTTATTATTAGCCAATTGAGACTTGTAAACAAGGATGCAACAGGTTGGGTTTGAAGAAAGTATGAAAGGTGAACTTAAGATGTATAGGACTTACCTTGTAATCAATTTCATTTTCAGATTTTCTGTTTGCTCATCGGTTAAAAATGTCAGTAAAACATGCATCTTAAGAGGTTTTCAGAGGGGCAAAAAAACATTTTGGATACTATAGTTATAAAAACCCCTGCAAGATATTGGATTGGCAAACCAGTTTACTTATTTATGAAACTGCATGTCTCTAGAGTATAGATAATTTGGTCAACTAGTTGCAGAACTGGGAATAAGAAGATATGAAAATGGAAGTAGATGACAACTTTATAACTCTTTAATAATATTGCTTTAAAACATAAAAGGATGCTTCTTGTGGCTCTGTGATTTGTAATTTCTGCTTCTCACATGCACACATTCATTTTTTCCTTTCTATTGTAACTATTAGACCAAAGCAGCTATGTTCTTTTGTTCTGTGAACAATACATTTGCTTATATCCTGCAATCACTGTTACCTTTGCTTTTTCATTTACCGTGTTTCCAATGTGGATTATAATGTAATAAAAAATTATGTCTTCGATTTCACTCCAAATCAGTAAGAATCAAAACTGTGAACTTCGTTTTTTTCTCTCTAGAGTTTCTCGCCCAATCGCTCCCCCTTTGGTGCATCTGAAAAATGTGGCAGTAGAAGCCAAAAGTGAACAGGAGAAGGAGACTTTAAGGAACAGTCAAGATGGGCATGAGGATCAAACTGCATAGCACTGACCATCCAAATAACTTGTTGAAGGAACTTAACAAATCTCGATTGACAGAGTCTATGTGTGATGTCACCATTGTTGTGGGGAGCTGTTCCTTCCCTGCACACAAAGCAGTGCTGGCATGTGCAGCAGGCTATTTCCAGAATCTTTTCCTGAATACAGGATTGGATGCTGCCCGCACTTACGTAGTGGATTTCATTACTCCAGCCAACTTTGAAAAGATTCTGAATTTTGTTTATACATCGGAGCTCTTCACAGACCTTATAAATGTGGGTGTCATTTATGAGGTTGCTGAAAAATTGGGCATGGATGATTTGCTGAAGGCTTGCCATTCTACCTTCCCAGACTTGGAAAACTCAGCTGTCACTAAACAGCCTTCTGCCTCAAATGAAAGCCGGCCTTGTGGTGCTTTAGCTGAACCAAACCATTCTCTAGGTGAAAGTCGAAGTAGCGGGGAACAACTGGGATTAGAGCGGAATTGCAATATGCATGGTGAAGCAGCCACTGGCTACAAAGAAGATCCTGCCAATGAAGCTAGTCACAATTTAACACATCCACGGACTCCCAAAGTAGAAGAGCAAGAAGCAACAGGACCATTTACTGGTGCCATGAGTATAATGACCCAGGCTGGTCTCGGTAATATTAGCATGGCTGTTCAAACCACTGTGAACTCTTGTCCACAGTATAAGGTCCAGAGCAACGGGGATTACAACAAAAGTAATCTTTTTGCCTCCGATGTCTCCTTAGATATATCAACAAGTAGCAATTCCTGTCCCAGCAATAGTGACCATTCCAAAGATCATGTTTTTGGGCCAGTGGATGAATTGCAGCTGGGAGACTTGGGGGAAGAAGATCTGCACTTTGAAGATCCCAGTGAAGAGCTAGGTGCTACGGAGGAAGTGATAGAACTGAGCGATGATAGCGAGGAAGAGCTATCCTTTGAGAACGACAGCTGGGAAAACAAGGCCATGCCTTGCCAAGTGTGCAAAAAGGTTTTGGAGCCCAACATTCAGTTGATCCGTCAGCATGCCAGGGATCATGTAGACCTTCTGACTGGCAATTGCAAGGTTTGTGAGACTCATTTTCAAGACAGGAACTCTAGAGTCACTCATGTCCTGTCACACATTGGGATATTCCTCTTTTCCTGTGATATGTGTGAGACTAAGTTTTTCACCCAGTGGCAGCTGAACCTTCATCGCCGAGAGGGGGTGTTTGACAACAATATTATTGTCCATCCCAGTGACCCTCTGATAGGGAAGGTCAATTTGTTCAATGGGGATTTGGCATGTGCTGCCTGTAGGAAACCACTGGCCAAAGATTTTCATGTGGTTCGTGGCCACATCTTGGACCATGTGAACATCAAAAGCCAAATATGTGGTATATGTGATCAGCAACATCTCAATCTCTGCAGCTTGATGTGGCACACACTTTCCCACTTGGGAATTTCTGTCTTTTCTTGCTCTATCTGTGCCAGTAGTTTTGTGGATAGACATCTTTTGGAGAAACATGTGGCTGTCCACCAAAGTATGGAAGAAGCTCTCTTCCGGTGTCATTACTGTGGTCAGGCTTTCAAACTTGAAGCTGCCTATCGCTACCATGTTAGTCAGCACAAGTGTAACTCTACCTTGGACCTGGTCCGGCCGAACTTTGGTGACCGTCTTCATCAGCAAGCATTGCAAAAACGGAAGCTGACAGAGAAGTTCCTAAATGAGGATGTGGCTCTCCAGAACCAACCTGGGAATAGTAAATATAGCTGTAAGGTTTGTGGGAAAAGATTTGCTCATACCAGTGAATTCAACTACCATCGGCGGATCCACACAGGGGAGAAGCCCTATCAGTGCAAAGTGTGTCACAAGTTCTTCCGTGGACGTTCTACTATAAAGTGTCATCTGAAGACACATTCTGGGGCCCTCATGTACCGGTGCACCGTTTGTGGCCACTACAGTTCCACCCTTAACCTTATGAGCAAGCATATAGGTGTGCACAAAGGGAGCCTCCCACCAGACTTTACCATTGAGCAAACTTTCATGTACATCATCCATTCCAAAGATGCAGAAAAAAACACAGAGAGCTGATGCAGCTATATTTGGGAAGTAAACAATACCCGAGATAGTAGTGAAACTTGTTTCAGAATTTTAAAAAAATTACTTTTAGTGGTCTGTATACTTTTATTTTCTTATGTTTCTTTCTTATGTTTGTTTCTTATGTTTCTTTTCCTTAAATCACTGTTCTGTGAAACAACATCACGTTAGATGTGTTAATGTTCTCAAAAAAACATTGTGTTTACCTCCTGCTATGTTGTTTCAAATATAAGAAGATATTTTGTTTTTCATCTAATATATTTCCCATCTCATGACTTCTTCCTCCTCTCACAGGCTTTAACTGACATCATTAGAAGATTGATGCTGGTAAGATGTATCAATGCTCCATCCCAGTAGGGCTAGAAGGGGAAAAAGGGGGGAAAGGGGAAAGTATGAAAAAAATGCTTCTGGTTTATTGATGACAAGGTTTAATTTCCAAAAATTAAAAATGCAATCCTAAGCATACTTACTCAGAAATAAGGCTCTCTTTGTTTTGAGCGAATTATTTCCTATTGGTACATGTATTGTAGACACATCTATGTATTCTTTCTTCAAAAGGATTGCCTTTTCTTGCATAGTAAATTTAACTGTCATGCCAGTCAACAGACTTTAATTGAAAGAAAGCTTATCTCCGTACAGTGAAAAGCTGATTTCTTTGAATGAAGCTGATACTAAAGATACAAGGGCTAGATACGTTTGGAGGTTTAATCAGTTGCCAAATCTACCATGCATCTACCCTTAATTTGCCCTTTTCCAAAGGATCAATTATTTTTTTAAAAAAATCTAGTTTATAGCAGAGAGATCAACGTAAAAAAAAAGAATACATAGATTTTAGGAGACCAGAAGAAGTGGAGTTTGCCAATTTTGGATTAATTTTCAATGGAGAGGAAAGGAGAAGATCATGAGAAACAATTCTTAGTGTTGGCAAGGCAGGCTTATTTTAGTTGTCCAAGCAATAAGATTTGATTTGAAGTACCTCTTTCAAAAAATTTTAGAGTATGAAAAAATGGCAAGAGATAAGGTTGCTTTCTTTCGTTTGCAATGCTGCCTTAATGCCAATGTGGAATTCTGTCATACATAATATTTGTCTTGAACAATAGGGTGTGTTCAGAGGGTAAACTTTTTAAAGCAATTAATATACAGTTTTTTGCTAGTGCTTGAAATCTTTTGGCCTACAATATTTATTTGCCAGATAAAATTTAGGGCTTATTTCTGAGTAAGGATGGGTAGGAATGCACAGTTGTGTTTGAAAAGACATTGTTGCCTTAAAATATCGCTAAATGGGGGAATAAAACTAAAAACACTGTTTTTACTTTTTGTTTAGTGATTCAGAAGTTTTCTTAACAGTGGCACTTATTTTTACATTTTACATATTATAATATTTGTTACATTGAAACTGCAAGTCCCCTGCTATTATGTCAGATTGTGACATGAGGAAAATGTTTGTGCTGGTATCACGGATGTAATGAATTAAGGCCAATTTGAATGCATTTTCATCACATTTAGTTATATGAATAACCTTTTCTCTCCAGAGTCGAATTTTATTAACAACAAAACAAACAATTTGTTAAACTTCTTCTAACCAATGACAATGGTTAATGTGGACTGTATTACCAAAAGGCATTCTGATTCATTCCTGGGACATTGGCAGTTTTGAAAATATTTCCAATATTTGCATAGTCGAAGGTGATGAAAGTTATAGTTCAGCTTACAAGGAGGACACCATATTGGTAGAAGAAAGTGTCCCTGCTCAAATGAGGAATTTGTCAAAACTTAGGAGTGGGGCAATACTACCAACTAAACAGTATTTATCTTGATTAATGATTGGATGCACAACTTGTTGGAAGCAGGAATTGGATGTGAGAAGAGGAACCTTCAGTGGTTTAGGACTGCCATATGTTTCATTGTAAACCAATGTTTCATTGTAGAATTACCACAAGATGGTAGCAAAGAGCTACATATAAACTATGATTAGATTTTTTTTATAGCCCTCCCCTACTTTTAATAAATATATTTCTTGTTGCCCTCATATAGTGCCTATGACATCACAACCACTGTGCACCATTATTTCTTACACCTGTGTTACATTTGTTTTGTCAGATTTAATATATTTCATTATCAGTCCAAGAAAACCAATTCTTTCAATTAAAAGAAAAAGAAGAAAAACAGCAAAACTATCTTGTCTCTCTTATCTTGTCACAATAATCCGCTTTATACTTTTCAAGTTATTCTGATCATGTGCAATTTTCTTCTCCTATCAACATACATCTTTTCTTTTTTTAAGAAAAATCAAATGATGTGTCTAATTCTTCCTTAACATCATTATTTTTTAAAAAAAATAGCACAGAAGCAGGTTGTAAGTTCTGTCTTTGTGCAAATGGAAGAATATGCTAACAGAAAGTACAGATTTGTTTTATCAGCTGAAAAGGCCAAATGTATTCGCTCTGTAATAATGCAAAGTCATAACAGGTTGAAATTGGAGCTTTCCCCCTTTTTTGAGGGGATGGAAAATTGGAAGTGGAATGAGGTGTAACTAACATATTTAGAGGGAGAGCAGAAGACAAAAGACCTTGATTTGTATTATAGTTTGCTTCATTTTGTGGACTGATCCCACAAACAAGTATAGTTCTGTGATTTCCATTCAATGGGGAATTGATAGGAAAGGTGATTATTGAGAGATGGAATAGCTGGTTTGAGAACTGGCCCTTGGTATAATGCAAACTACCTCATGAGGAGAAAGCACTTGAGTCTTCACAGCTCCTGTTGTGTACAAATGGACTCTTGGGCTTCTATATATAAACACACTGTTATTAAAGAGAACATAAATGTAACCCTGGCTTATGGGTGTGTATGTGTGTATGTATGTAAAAACCGCAGCTCCAGAAATCTCAGCTCTGAAACTAATTTTAGTAGGGCAGCCTTTGGGCAGATTTGCTTTGTCTTTGCTTATAATACCTACCTCTAAAGGATGTTGTGAAGATAAATGTTTTGATATATGTTCAAGAGAAAAGCACTTCTGTCTTGTTTTCACTTCCTAGGAAAATAAAAATGTTCCCATAATACATACATTGTGTGTGCAGATAAATATTCAGATGTATTTTTTGGTTCCTTTCTCTTTGTGGCCTTGGACACGAACAAGATATGCTGAGGAACTGTGAATCATGTATATGGCAGATGGAAATAGCTCAAGGAAATATTAGTGCTGAGAGTTATTTGTAATGATCTAAAAGCTGCCCAGGGACTGAATCACTAATCTTGATCTACTGATATGTTAATGGAAGGGCCTTAACCAGGAAGGTGGAACCAAAAATATGACAAGCCAAAGGATTTTGCTGTTGAATAAATATTAAAGATTAATCTCCTACTACTGGCTAATGAGGAAGCTTCATGCTACCTATTAAACTTGATGAATTTGGTATTTTTTCCTTTTTTATGCTGAAAGATGGTTCTTGCCTGGGCCTTATCTATGTCCCTACCTAAGGCTGCTGGTGCATTTATATATTTCAGGCAATGCATCCGGTGCTATGAATCACGTTTCCTGAATAAAAATGTGGCGTTCAGTAGAAGAACTGGAGAAGGAATTCCTATCTATTGCTTGTGTGTAGTAGGAATTAATTTCTTATCTTTAAATCAAAGCAGAATTCTACAGCTGCTTTCCCCTGGTTCTCCAGTGCCAAACCTGTCTTCCTGCTCCACAGGGGAAACCACTGCAGCTTGAGAAATTTCTAGCAAAATCATGATGGAGTAATTGGGCCTCATAATTAGGGCCTTTGGAACCAGAGAATTGGGGATTGGCTTCAAGTTCTGAACATCTGCGTGAGTGTAGCTTTGGCAAATAACATCACCTGCCTGCCTCATACATTTTTCCACTCATGAATGAAGGTGGGGAGGAGGAATACTTAAAAATACCTACCTCACAGGTGACAAGTTGTGAGGTGTAATAAATGTCTGTAAAGTGCTTTGGAACCCTTAGGGTTGTAGAAGGACTAAGTATTGTAATTAAATAACTTCACTCTGTTTGACATGCTATCATTTGTGAAGAATCCTTTCTCACCATTATCATCCTAGCAGGGAAGGATTTAGGCATGGAACAGGTATTCCAGTCTCATGTAGAATACTTTGAAATAATGAAAAAAATATTTTGGAAATGGATGCATTATTAATTATTATTTTCTGTCCTTCCCCTCCATTTCCTCCAAAGATCCAGATGTCTTGAAATGCAACAGCAAAAACAGAATAAAACCGAGCGTTGTGATTGCTGTCAAATCTCTTGGTTAAGTGAATTGTAGGTACTGACCTCTCAGTTATTTAAGTGTTTACTATCTATTTGCTGTAAAGTTTGTATATTTTGTAAAACTTTTCTCCTTCCTAAAGAAAAGAAAGTAGATGTCTAAAATGGTTGTACATCGGATTATTTTATACTCCATTGTTTGGCACAAAAGTGTGTTTTTTATTTAGAATAATAAAAGTGAAAACTGAAAAGAGTCTCCTGCACTGTTTTTCTTATTTGTAAATGGTGATAGATTCTAAGCAAGTGCTTTGTTTTAACCTAGTGTGAGGCTGAGCACATTCTTTGCCTGCAGGACATCACTAACTCCTTCCCTTGCATTTCCAAAGACAGGGTAAAGCTGTTATGTGAGGAACTATTTCAATCAATAGTCTAAGTTCCTGTCATGTCATCATGGCAGTGTCACGTGATGTATCAGGACTTTTTTCCTTTGTTAAACTGGGTGTGGCCAGTATATAACGCATCTGGTCCACAGGCCAGGAGTTTGACAGCCATGGTCTAAGCAATATTAAGCAATGCTGACTTTTCCCATTAAAGAAAATGTATACAAACCAGTTTCCTATAAAACCAGCAACTTTTATGTCAAGGGCTGGGAAAAAGAATAGCTAGGAGATTCCCATGGAGGCAGTGACTATATTATGGCTTGGTACTTAAATGCTTACAGGACCAGTTACTTCAACTGGATTCAACAACCCTGAGGAAGTGAGAAAGAGAGAGAGAAAGAGGGAGGGAGGGAAGGAAGGAGAGAGAGAAAGAGAAAATGTGTACACACACACACACACACACACACACACACACACACTTATACTGCCTTGTTTTAAAAAGTGAACCGGTGATAAACTTAAAAGAGAGCATTGGTGTCTCTGGGAGAGGATGGAGTTCAGAATATACAAGATAGTAAGCAAAATACTTTGATACGATTTTTATTCCTTTTGTCAGGCATGTAAGGCCAATGTGTTTGCAAAAGAGATGGCGCTTTTAATAGTGACACCATGCTGTTTGGCAGACTTTACCCCCCCATCTGCAGACACCTTGGAAACAAAATGGAATGTGGTGGTGCTATGATGCCTGCCTGCTCTGACTCTGTAAGACACATACAGAAGTGTACATGCCAACCACATTGGTATATTCATAGTGCTCTTCTCTAAACTGATAACGATCTACATTTGAGTAGAACAAGGCTTCTCAAGTATATTTCTGATTTATGCTATTTGTTGAAATGACTCTAGTTTGGGCCAAAAGAGGCCATTTCCCTTCCAGCTGGGCAAGGAACATTTAAAAATGACCATTTGCTATAAAATACTGAATATTGTCATTATTATATGAATATGAGCTGTGTTGGCAGAGTGGTTAGAATGTACAGTGGTGGATTAAGGCTCACTGGTGTCCTAAGCACTGACAAATCTTGGTGTCGCCCTCCTTTGTAGATATTGTACAAATGAAGCCAAGTTTAGACTACATAAAAGTTTTTGTGGTGCCCCCTTTGGGTCTGGTGCCCTAAGCACGTGCTTAGTCTGCTTAATTATTAATACAACACTGAGGATGCAGTACTGCAGGGCTACTTTTGCTGACTGCCAGCAGTTCAATTCTCATTGGCTGAAGGTTGACTCAGCCTTCCATCCTTCCGAGATGGGTAAAATTGTTGGCAATATGCTGACTCTCTAAATCGCTTAAAGAAGGCTATAAAGCACTGTGAAGCGGTATATAAGTCTACTGGTAAGTGCCATTGCTATTAACACGAGAGGGAAACATAAAGATGGGATACATGTAAGCAAGACTAGTGGCAACTCTAAAACAACCATAGAAATATTTTATGAGTTGACATTGGGGTAACTGCGGGAATTCTGATGGCTAGCTTCTTACTCCTTCTCCAGCCACATCTTTGATAGATGCAGTAGGATAGCTAATTTCAGCCCAAACCATTTACAATTAAAAGGAAGGAATTAGTATCTTCAATGAATCAATCAATGAAATCAGTCAATCAAAATGCCACTTTATTGAGTACACCATTCATTCACATGTCCATTTTTACATCACTTTTGTAAATTTGGTAAAAGATTAAAAGTGCTTGAAAATTCATATGGATTATCTTTCATGTTTTTGTTAAACTAGAATGTTTACAAAATACCTTTGCAGGTGTTTACATTGTAACTGTATTCCATTGCTGTATTAGGTTAAATAAGTATTCTATACACCCCTTGAATGATGTTTGGATGCAACAATCATAGCTACATCTCCTTACCTTGTTCTTCATTTAAGAAACAGAGAGAGAATTTATCCCCAGCATTTCATTTGGTTCATTTATGAATTTTTTCTTCAAATCAGTTATGCCCACTTTCTAAACACAGAGAGCCTTTATGTTGTGTCCAGTCCTTTACAAACATGATCCATGGCCAGTAATAGCATTACTTTGTAAGCACCGAACATTGAAGTAATTCTCTCTGAAAATTTATTTCCATACCAGTTAAAATGTTAGAAGGGTATAATTCAAGGAGGAGGAAAACTCAGGGGTAGACAAATGCTCCAGCTGCAGAAGAAGGCAAACGGGAAAAAAAAGGCACCCCAGAATCTAGTTTGGGATTTTTAACACAATGAAAGAATTCAGAGTGCAATCTCTCAGGAGTGAGAAACACTAGTATCACCTGTCATGTAATCTTCTAGAAATACTCTTTTTACATTTTCCTAAATTCACATTTTCACTGGGTATAATTTTCTATTGTGTTAAGTAAATGTTAGTGGTCTGGACTAAAAAGACCTCCGTAGGAATTTCCAGGATTGAATTGTTAGTATCCTGATTTCCCAGTTCCAAGAAACAACTAATTGAATGTTCACATTAAAATAGGGCTAGGCCCTGTTTTATCTTCACAGATCACTTTAGTTCTTTAGCTTCTTATATAGGTTGGAGCTATATTTACAGCTATTTCAGCTATAAGTTGCTCTGCCTAGCAATTCTGTTTAACCAGCAGATCAGCATTAAGTTTTCAGAATACTATTTTCACACAAAAGCTGCGCACATTAGAAGAAAGTAAGAGAAATACATCTCTTTTCCACAGTAAAATGTCAAAGTGGCAAAAAAATAGTTTTTTCACTGCAAGTTTCAAGATGAAGGGAGTAGCTGAGGACTAATAGCAATGTCAGCTTTTGGTTGATTAAGGCCAATCAGTTTGACACAGCAGCACATAATCCTCCTCTCTACCTCATTTTTACCTATATTGCCCTTTTTTTAAAATTGTAAAAAGCATTGGCAACAACAAGTATCCTAATTAAGCCTATCCTTTGCTGATAAGAGAGAAAAATGCAAATACATTCTTATGGCAATGAACCAAAACTTAGAAAAGCTGTTTAAATTGGTGAGGTCTTTTCTTGCGTGATGACTACAGAGTGTTGGGTGTTGGAAGAAGAGCCATCTTTGTCCTTCTGCTCCATCTGGTTTTTGGGAATGTATCGAACCACAGCAGAGATCAGCTTTCCTTGGAAGTTCTTGCTCAGGAAGTTGTACAGGATGGGATTGACAACACAATGGATAAGGCTGAGACAGTCTATGATATCGTAGAAGAAGTACAGGAACTCAAGCACATAGCAGTGGAGAAATATATGCGTTCCCTCAAGTGTGAGGATCAGCAAAATTAAGTGGAAAGGCAGCCAACTGATCAGGAAGACAATTATGTAAGCATAGATGAGGTAGCAGTTTTTTCTGCTCTCTGGCTTGTTGCAACGCTTGATGTGTCTGGCGGTCAGTATATTGAAGACTGCCATGATGGAGAATGGGATAAGGAACCCAATTAAGGCAACAAGGAGGTTGAGACCGAGGGCCCACTCACTGAAGGTCTCCAGTGGGGCCATAAAGAAACACATGGGCTCAATGGTATCAGTTAACTCCATGTGTACCACCTCTGGCAAAGGGAGGATGGCAGCAAACGCCCATATGCAGCAGCAGGTGATCCGTCGCACGAGATGTTGGCGTTGGTGCCAGAAGTGAGAGGAAGTTGTCAGGGACACATACCGATCAATGCTGAGGCAGGTGAGGAAGAAAATACTGCTGTACATGTTGGCAAAGTAAAAATAGTGGGTGAAGCGACAGAGGAAATCTCCCCAAAGCCAAGTGTAATCAAGCACGACTTCCAACATCCAGACTGGTAAGGAGAGGACCACTCCCAAGTCTGCCAGGGCCATGTTGAAAATGTATAAGTTGACCAAGTTCCGGTAGTTTCGGGTCTGCCAGTTGACCCATATGACCAAGAGATTCTCCACCAATCCCACCACAAAGATGATGAGGTAGAGGATGAAGAGAAAGACCCGTTTAATGCCATCATCTAGTCCCAAATTACAAACGCTGAACGTGTGATTGAACGCATAGAAGAGTTCTGTCAAGTTGTGGTATGCCTCATTGAAAGGGGGGAGGGTTTCTGGCTCTCCCATTTTGAGGGGAAAAGATGAACTGCAAAAGAGAGAGAGAGAGAAGAAAATATGAAATTAGAATATATTCTTCCCCTGAACCAAGATCATTTATATGAGGAATTTTGATTTTTTTTCAATAAAAAAAATAGCCATGGGTTTCAAATCTGTGCAGGTTTAAAATTTGGGAGGACTCACCAGGACTCCCATTTTTTGTTTTGTGATTTGGCCACTGCTGCATATAATGTATTTATCAAACACATTGATCAGTCACCGGAATATAATCTGACAGCAAACAACATTCCTTACTAAGCACTGATGATATTACCTAGTTAGGGTAATGAAACATCTGCAAGAAAACAACCAAGCTCAGAAAAGCACCAAGGACCCCTCATTTCAACCCTGAGCTACAAATATTCTCCTTTATTGGTACATTGATCAGCCTCTAGTCAGACCTCCTGCCCTGGTCTTATTCCTTCTTTTATATTTCTTCAGTACCATACTTGATTAGCAGCTGAATCCCAACTTTTTGTTCACAGGAGAACCTGACACAAAGAATAAGAGTAATAGAAATAAACATACTGACTGTGGTACTAGAATTTTGTGTTGCAATTTAAGGAACAGGAAAAGGCAAATATCTGACAGGCCTACCAGGATTCTCAATGAGGTCAATGTGGCCTATAGAATATTGTGGGGCTGAGGGAGCCTATTTATTTGGTTTTTAAAATATTTTTTAAAAAATCTTTTTAAGTAACTCAAGGTAGCAAAACATAGCTAACACTTGTTGCTCCTCCTATTTTCTCCACAACAACTTCCTTGTGAGGTGGGTTGGGTTGAAGGAGATTGATTGTCTCAAAGTCACCCAGCTGGCTTTAATGCCACAGCCTCCTGGTTTCTGGACTGGCACTTTTACCACTACCCCAAACTGCCTTTTTCTATGATCTGTGTACCTTAATGTATCTACTTCCATCCTTGGAATCTCCAGATAATGAATTTATTGGGAAATGATAGAATTACCAGCAATAAAATATTGTTAGAACTAGCATTGGCTCAGATAGGGTTGCTCCATGGTTTTCCTGATTAGGTCCTTGTATCTTTATTTCTGCAATAATGCACATATTCAAGGAACATAGGTTCTTTTACCAATCAAATTTTAACAACATTAAAAACGCAGTTGTATATTGGGCTATGCAACATCTTTAGTGACAGTGTGAGGTTGACTGTTTTCCCTGCCTGTATTCACTGAATATGAAAAGAGTAAACTAATGGAGCTTTAGAAATGAGCAGATTCCGTTTTTCTGTTTTTGGATTGTGGAGAGGGAGAGACTTAAAGAGCACATCAAAGAAACCCCAAAGTAAGACCACTTTTGCGGGAGATACCTGTATACCTAAGGAAGGTTATGGCACTGTCCATATAAAAGAATATTTAAATGCAACATCTTCATTAAAAATCATTTCCATTATGCATTTTTTTACCGCAAATGTCTAAACTACATGTTTAATATTTGGGCTGGATCTAGGTTAATTGGGCAATTTCAGACAAAGACATATAACCACAGGGTAAGGAGGATTCTGTGTATGTACATGCAAGCAATTTATTTTATTTCCTTTTTGTGCAGAGATGGCAGGGTTTTTGTTATTGCGGGTTCTGTAGCAGTGCCAGGGCTGAACATGATTTTTTTGATCCTTGCTTTTAGCATTCCAAATTTGACTATTTTGAGGACCATAGATTTTCTGGGGTGAGATGACTGCAGTGTTCCAATATCTAGCAGGCTGCCACAGAAAAAAGGGGTCAACATATTTTCCAAAGCACCTGAAGATAGGACAAGAAGCAGTGGGTGGAAGCTAATCAAAGAGAAGACCAACTTTGAAATAAGGAGAAATTTCCTGAAAGTTAGAACAACTGATCAGTGGAACAACTTGCCTCTAGAAGTTGTTGGTGCTCCAACACTGGAGGTTTTAAAGAAGAGATTGGACAACCATTTTAATGAAATGGCATAGGGTTTCCTGCCTGAAGAAGGGGGTCAGTCTAGAACACCACCAAGGTCCCTTCCAACTTTGTTATTCTGTTATTCTATTCTTCAAACTGTTTTTGAAGAACTAGAGAGTGAAAATAGTGGATATCTGAAAATGTGCTAACTTAGCCTTGATTATGCAAACACTATACATTAAAATAACACTGTTGAAATACCATCTTTTATTTAAAGGAATGGTATGAAATGCAGCACGGTAAAAAGCCTTCAGGTTTATATCAAATAATGTCTACCACATTCACAAAGCTACTCAAATGTGCTTGGAGAAGCTGTAACATTTCAGCCAGCACAAAAGTAACTTCAGTTTTTATAGTGTAAATATGCCTTTAATGTTTTAAAATCTTATTAAATATTTTTTTTAAATCTCAATAATGAAATATTGTCATTAGGTAATTTAAAAATGGTAAACTAAATATGCTTTGAAACTATATGCATTCAAGGTGGTTTTTATTTCAAAATAAATGTATAGATGACTTGCATTTGTAGGGGAAGGGATCAGGTGAGCGCTGAGGTACCTTCATATAGTGGGGCTGAGAATATATTTTCCAAGGAAGTCCTGGAAAACAACTGTGGCATTCTGAAGAATGTGATTAGCTGCGCATACTCTTAAGAGTGTTGGACTGGGAAGTCCTTGATTAAAATCCTCCATTAGTGATTAAAAATCACCCGGTGGTCTCATATCAGGAACAACTGTCACAGTGGTGGGATTCAAATATTGTTGCCACAGGTTCGGTGGGTGTGGCTTGGTGGGCAAGCTTTGCGCGCATGCACACACTTTGTGTGCATGTGTGCACCAAATGCGCACTTTGCGCAAGCGCAGAGGTGTTCTAACTCACCTCTTGCAAGCCTGCACGATCTCGGTTGCTTCAGCAGCTGCTGAGCGGCACTATTCTGTGCCACGCAAAGCAGCTGTGCTTCAAATTCAGCAGATAAAAGTGAGTATGGGAGCCCAGGTGGGTGGGTGGACCCAACAGCAGGGCGGCAGAGAGAACTGGTTCGGTCTCCGCTGCTCATCGCTCCTACTGGCTCGCCTGAACCGGGCCAAACCAGTCAAATACCACCACTGAACTGTCGGCCAAAGTTGATATGAGAATAAGCTGGGAATAGAGAGCTGATTTATTCACCCAGTTCACTTTGAATTCAGAGAAAAGCACATCAAGAAACAAATATAGTTAATAACATGTGACTCATGATTGCTGTGTGTGCCTCACAAAGTAATTAGAATTGGATTATTGTTAATTAAATTGAATTGAGCTTTTATGCTGGTTTTGGATATAAGCTGCATTTTTATCAAGGCAGTACTTTTGGAGATGTGTGGGAGCTGAAGGCATGAGATATAAACCGGCCGAATTATTTTATCGAATGCTTAATAAGGCTGATATATCCCCTGGCAAATACTGGCATCATGCTGATATAGGTTCCAGACAGGTAGGGTGGTGCTAGGTAAATCTGATGGCAATTCTGTCTCTGGTGCCTCTAAATATTGGACACAATATGACCCAGACAAGCAGAGAAGTGAGCTGATTTACTGATGTAAACTCTGGACAGATTCTGAGAGTAGAAATAATTGGCAAGGGGGACATAAACTGGGAAAGATAAGAGGAAGATGAGGAAAGATAAGGGCTGAACATGGAGGTGAGCGAAAGGCTAGGAGAAACTTCTCATCTAGATGCAGTGATATTTCTCATTCTATTTGCAGAATCAAATGTCATACCTACAGACTCCAGTGCTCCACATTTGCTCCTTCCTTCCTTCCTTCCTTCCTTCCTTCCTCCCCCTCCCTCCCTCCTTACTTACTAACTTTTCATACCAGTGAATGATGTAAGAACTCTAACTAGCAGTCTCTTATTACATTGGTCACAATCCACAGGAAGCTTCAAAATGGTTTAAAGCAGGGATCCGCAACCCCTGGGCCGCGCCCACTATTGGATTGTGGCCTATTCACAACCTGGCTACAAAAGCATGCACATTGGCCTGTTGCTTATGCAACTTGAGGTGTTCGCTTGTGCACCAACCCCCTGCTCGCCTGGCCCGCTTCCCCTCTCCTCCCCACCAGGCCGCCAAGCCACAAAGGTTGGAGACCGTTAGTTTAGAGGATATATAGCTCTGTTTCAGACTAAATCATAAAAGTAATCTATTGAACCAAGAACTATCTATCTGGTTTTCAGAGCTTTCTAGCTCTGCAACATAAGATTCTTTCCCAACCTGACTGGTTGCAAATATATTGGGATTATCTTGTGTGTCATTGCCATTTGCAACAGCTATAAGTAATTTGGCAGATGACAGTAAGAGTTATAATTCAACACATCTGGAATACTCCAGACTGGGGAAATGGCTTTAGGTAGAGGTAACCGGATTTGTTCCTAGAATCAAATGCACGGAAATGCTACGGATGGCTTTCTCCATTCTACCTTAAAACAAAGCTCAGTGTCATTCTTAGCACTCTAGAATAGATGGTTCTCTTTTGAACTTCTTTTCTGTTCCTGTTTTCTCAGATCTTTAAACTAAAGGTATCACAGAGGATCTTATACCTCCAACAAATGTGCTTTGCGAAGATAATAATGATTCTTTAAGTATTTTCTTTGGGATTGAAAGAGTTGGAAATTAGACACTGACAAAACTATCAAACTGGCCTAAAAGTAGTTGATGATTAAATGATTCTTAGGGTGGATTTTTTTATTAGACCAGATGTAAGTACTGGTTGGTTTCTGCATTCCATGGAATTCTTTTTTCAGGAGAAAAATGCAAGGAAAACTGACAATGTGATATATCTAAAATGTTGACATATCCTATAAATTGTAAATTTTAGGCCATAAAGAATGTTCAGAAGAAATAATTGTCTCAAATGAGCTTTTTTACTTTCCATGTTATATAGATATTACTTTGCTCCTTGAAACCGTCAGTTAAAGAAAAATTCCCAATTAAAAAAAAGAACAATCTTGATGTAACTTTAACAGTTGAAAGCAGAATGACAGATATAATGACAGATATAGCAATTTCCTTCTCAAAGTGCCTTCAATTCTATTTAAGCAAATAGACAAACAAAATATTTGCTTCTCTGCAATCTGGAGAAGAACCATATTATTATTATTGATGATAGGTTAAAAAAGAAACATTTCCTATATGACACTTGAAAGAAGAGAAAGTACTTCTTAATCCAAATTAAATCTGTTTCCACCCCCCACCCCCTTTTATAAGCTAAACTCCTTGTAACAAAATTTATTTCTAGAGAGCAGGTCAATTGACTGCTTACCTTCTTAGAAACCAGAATTGATTCTGGTGATGTTGCAATAAAGAGATCTACTATTCAGTCCCTCCAACTTGGATGTGAGGTGCAGCCTTTCCAGGAATGTGAATTTGTTGGCAACTCAAATATTTGTTGCTATTTTCCCTCCCTCCTATCTTTCACACACAGGAAATGAGCATCACAGGCTGTTACTCTGAAAGCAAGGCCCCATCTGAGGATTTTGCCTGAATGCTTGAGCCTGGCTCCAGTTCCAGGAATGGGCAACACGGATCGTTCTCAGTCCCACACGTTTGAAGAAATCTAGAGGATGTCTGCTTTCCTGAGGCAAATTTCCTTTTTCCGCTCTGCATTTTTGAAACCAGCTTCCCTGCTTTCAAATAACACAGAGTGTACTGCCAAAAGAACAGGAGAGAGAGAGAGAGAGAGAAAGAGGCTGCCCTGGTCAGTTTCATCATTAGGTAGAATGAGGCAACTCCAGGTACTGAGGAGAAGAGGACCAAGTCCTTGGAGGAAGGAACCATTTAGGTTCAATTAGTCACTCACATGAAGAGAACATTTACCCATTGCTGGTCTTGAAAGTAGACCCCACTCTGAGCTCTGTTCTGCATGTGAAACAGAGAAGGTACTACGGTAGCTGTTAAAGTTTCCATGAAAGTAATACCCACGTTTCCCTGAAAATAAGACTGGGTCTTATATTATTTTTTTGCTCCAAAAGACACATTAGGGCTTATTTTCTAGTTAGGTCTTATTTTGAGGGAAATATGGTACAAATGCATCCATCCGGCTGACAGTCATAACTGTGGCTTATTTTGGGGGTAGGGCTTAAATTAGAAGCATCCTGAAAAATCACACTAGGGCTTATTTTCCAGATTAGGTCTTATTTTAGGGGAAATGGTATCAAAAATATGTGCATTTTTCTCTTTATAGAATCAGAGCATTTGAAAGTCAATCCCATCACTGCAAGAATCTAAATTATTTATGATTTATAACTGTCCAGCCTTTGCTTGGACATATCCAATGAAGAGAAGATTTATAATAGGGAAAGTTGCTTGCAAAACTATATGGTTTTTCTGGAGCTCTTTCAGTCTGGTATAATTCAGATAGATGTCGACAGCTCTTTCGGATCACCAATGGTTTGCTCAGGATATGGGGACTGCATCTCTCTTGGTTCTCATTGAGCTCTCTAGACTATTGACCATGGTATCTTTCTGTATTGATTCAAGGGAAACATTGTGTTAAGGTCATCATCCAATGAGTGATGGTGTGGGTCTGCTTTGCAAAGTGTCTTTGGGACCCATTCTCACACTACTTTTATTGTACATTGAGTACCTTGGTACTCAACTGCTTTGAAACTCATTGAATTTGGTGTTCAATGCATTTTGATGCAAAATTTTGTCCCGGTACTCATTATTTGTTTGGTACTCAATGCACAAGCTGGAACTTATCAGTGTCAGCTGCCTTATGACTCACTACATTATTTCCTTTGAGAAAAATTTTGTTTGGTACTCATCACTTTTTGGCACTCATCATTTTTGGTACTCATTTGGTTGGTTTCCCGGAAGTGTCTGTTGAGACACAGTTGTATAACCAAACCACTGCTCTACAGCAGAAATGAATCTCTGGATCTCCTTAGCATGCCCTCTAAGCATAGATTATGGAAATTCTATAATGTGGTTTCTTGCCATTTTGAGGCGTGAGACACACAGACATACATGCAACAAACAGCTTGACATAGTTTTAAAAGAGAAAGGAAACTTCCCACCACCATCCCTGAAAAAAAGTCCAGGAAAGGAATGGAAATTGAAGGATTGCCTATTTCTACACCTTTATATCTCTGTCTCTGACTCTAGCTCCAGCTCTGCCTTTGAGTCAACCAATCTGTATTGTTTCGAAGCCTTGGCCTTCAAAAACATTCTCAGCATAGCTTTTGGCCAACCAAAAAAAGATTATCTCTTGATCAGGAAACCAGGTACACCAATTGACTGATTTCAATATTTTGTGCCTCCTTTTCTGGGCATTGCTTCCCAAATAAATTCATAGAAAAAGGCTAAGCCATTATAGGAGAACCTCTCCATAGGAGAATTTATATTTCATTTATTAGTAAGGTTTATGTTTTACAATTATTACTGGCTTAAGTTTATCTGGGTCTCAATAGGTATTTATTTATTAAAAATAAAACTTTGCACTGCCATCTTTAATAAAGCTTCATTTAAAGTTGATTTAGGGAGTAAGGATGAACCTGATCCAGGAGGAAGGGTTGCCTGGCAAATTTGGGAATGTAGTGTGACCTCACCATGATCACCCTACCATCTCTGTGATGCTAGGTTTGGACATATTTACTGTACACAAAACACTGCTGCAATTTTTATGTTTTATTCTATCAATCTGGCATTTCTTTCACTTTGATAATGTCTTGTTTGTTTTTGAACCTGCAAGCAATGCCATTTTGGAACGGTCTAGGGCAAACAGTTCCCAAATACGTTGGTCTCAGGACCCCTTGCATTCTTTTTAGCTTTGATTTATGTGGGTGATGTTTGTTGATATGTACAGCATTAGGAATGAAACCTGAGAAAATGCCCTTTGACCCACATTTTTAAGAACTGCTGGTCCAGGCCATGTCAGTCTGCTGTGAAGGCTAACACCCAATATAGGAATGGCCCACCTCTGTTTGGAGGTTCCCCGAAGCTCCCATTCTGCTGTAGTCAGCTGATTGGAGATTACTGGTAGGAAGCCTCAACAACACGGCAGCCTCAACAACACACATCTTTTGACCCTTTCTGAACCCTTTTCAGAAAGTAAATAATCTTGATTTGACTATTTACATGCAGAATATAACTTGTTCGGGATTAGAGGTGGTATTCAGCAGGTTCTGACCAGTTCTGGAGAACCGGTAGTGGAAATTTTGAGTAGTTTGGAGAACCGGCAAATACCACTTCTAACTGGCCCCACCCCATCTATTCTCTGCCTCCCGAGTCCCAGCTGATTGGCTGGGTCTTCTTTTGTTGCCCTGCACCGGAGAATGGAGCTGGAAAGCAGGATAGTGGGGTGGGGAGGGAATGGGGATTTTGCAGTAACCTTCCCCTGCCACACCCACAAACCACACCACGCCATCAAGCCACGCCCACATAGCCAGTAGTAAATTTTTTTGAATTGCACCACTGTTTGGGATTCAACATTTTTAAAAACTGCCTAATTAATTTCTAGGCTTTGCAAAACAACGTAGAAGGAGTTATAGAGAAGAAAAAGTATAAGCTAATCAAGTGCCATAAACAATGCAATCTCAGTTTCACACTCTGGAGAAAATGGAATGCTTATTTACTTATTGTAGTTATTCCAACCACGCCATCATGAGCTCTCTTTGCATTTCATCTCCTCCACAGTCTTATGGGTTTAGCAAATGGGTAGTTACTCAGCCCTAAGACTACCAGTTTTCTGTCCTTCTATTCTTCCTCCATAGTTATTCCACAGAAGATAATTTAGAGGGGTCTCTTCTGTGTGTTCTGAATAACCCCTCTCACAATCATGTGATTTTGGAAACCCAGGATTGTGGGAGTTGAAATTGAGAGGCAATTCCAGTAAATAAGCCCCGGTAGTTAGAGCCTGTCGAAGCTTGGGAGCCTTGGGATTGTGATAAACCTTATCAGTAAAGGATGATGGCTCAGCACTCTCCAAAGGGAAACGAGTGAGGAGGAGTGGCTGGCTTGAATCCAGCAAAGGGGCCAAAAGTCTTTACATTCAAAACAATTGCTGGAAAGGCCTGGCTGGAACAGGGAAATGCAGTAGCTCAGATAAATCAGATTTTTTTTCAACAACAACAAACCAGATTGAGTATCTTTGGCTTGTGACAGAACCATTGTCCCATGATGTGCTGCTAACTCATCTGGCCTTTATCATGGCTTGTGTTTCCTCACTCCTAGATTATAATGGGATGCAGAGAATAATGATATGGGGATGTTAGGTAGTGTGATAGCTTAAGAAGTCAGGGAATAAATGGTTTTCTTGTTCCCAGCCAGAAGCCAGATGTGCCCACAGAGAATGGTGCAGACCAGGACTCTTCAAGAATAAAATAGATCATACCATCACAATTTGAAATGTAGGGGGAGGATTTCCATTTTTAATACATTAAATCACATCAACAAAGTATTTGAAGATTAGGTCCAAAATGGTACAGGGGACGTGCATAAGTGCACCAATGTACCTACTGTCCCTGTCCTGTTGTTTCTTTTTTCTTTTTTTCTTTTTCTTATATGTATCCATTTCATGTATCCATAACTATGTTTATAATTATACCTGTTATCTTATAATTGCAAAAATAAATAAATAAAATGTTTTTTTTCTCTGTTTTCCTTTTGGAAGGAGAGGTTTCTTTTTTCAATGTTAAAGAAAACTCCAAAAGGCAACACCTCCATCCTCTGCAAAGTGAAGTGATAGAAGAAATCAAGCTTCTCAATATTCAAACTGTGAACTGCATATCCTGATCAAGTTTGACTCTGCAAGATGCATCCCTGATACAAGTTGTGACTATCACCCCTAGTGGAAATTCTGTTAAATTGCAGCATGAACACATCTGAATATTGTTAAATTGGGGATGGCTGGTGTAGCCTAAGGTTTGATTTGTACATCAGTGCCATCTCCTAATAAGGAATGGCATCTTAATCCACCCCAAATGGTCTTGGGAAAGATTCCACATGATGGCTATACTTCCATATTTTCTTGGAAATAGCAACAGACAAGCCCAAAAAAGGGACAAACCTGAGAGAGTTTCATAAGGATAAAGATAAGCAATTGTTTATATTTATAACTTTACTTCACAAAGGGAAATTGAAGAGAATTAAAAAATAAATAAATAACTCTAAAGGACAGCTTTGTGAAAGAAAGGACTATTTTTTAATAAATGATGTGTGGTCACTATAAGCTAAAAGTGGCTACAGTTTTTTCCTCCTCCTTCTATTGCTTTTAACAGTGATAAAATTGGCTACCAAGCTAAGGCCTTAGCAAATCATTAGAATGTACCCTCTGAGTTGCTGCATACAATCTCGTCTTTTGCAATGAAGAAATATTTATATCAAATGTTATACACATA